AAAAAAAAAAAAAAAAGAAGACTGCATTTTGCAGGATCCAGAGGAAGTGATCCAAGGTGACCCTATCTGTACTCCCTGTGTAATTCACTCCCCTCTTCTTCAGAGCCATAAGTTGGCATATTGAGAAAGAATAGGACCTGTTCCTAGGAACATGGGCAGATTGAGAGAATTCAAAGGATGCTTACTTAAATTGTCCGTGTTAAAAACAAAACACGGGCCGGGGAGATGGCTTAGTGGAATAAGTGCTTCCCTGGCAAGCGCAAGGACCTAAGTTCAATCCCCAGTTCCAGAAAAAAAAAAAAAGAAAAACAGGGGGCCGAGGAGATGGCTCAGTAGAATAAGCGCTTGCCTGGCAAGCTCAAGGGCCTGAGTTCAATCCACAGTTCCGAAAGAAAAAAAAAAACACAACAAAAGCTAGGCTCACATCTGTGAATGGGTCAGTGCCTTCCAGTGGGGTAGGCGGCCTTTTCCTTGGTTTCTACCCCCTCAAGGGAAGCACAAATGTGCCGGTTCCACTGTTTCTTGGTGTATGTATTTTTAAAATTCTGCCTGATAAATCCCTTTATGCCTCTTTGAAATAAGCGAAATCTTTGTGGACCTGTGTGTGTGGCTGGGGCACTGACAGAGGGTGTCCTTGCTGCTTTCCTAGGTGACCAGTGAGAAGCTGTGCAGAGCCCAGCATGAGCTGCATTTCCAGGCGGCCACCTACCTGTGCCTCCTGCGCAGTGTCCGGGAACACCTGGCCCTGCACCAGGAGTTTCACGGCAAGGGCGAGCGGTCAGTGGAGGAGTCCGCAGGCCTGGTGGGTCTCCAGCTGCCCCATCAGCCTGGAGGGAAGGGCTGGGAGCCCTGATCGTGGACAGATGCCATGCATGCCACTGTCTGAGGAGTGTGATCATTTCTGCTAATATGTATTTATCATTAAATTTTTTTTTAAGTTGAGGGTTTCTATGTTGTCATCTTATTGAGTGAATGATTAGAGGAATAAATTGGAGGTTTCATTTTAACTGTCAGTGAGTATGCCAGACTTCTTACTTAGAGCTTATTAATGTCCTTGAGCTATTTTTTTGTGTGTTTTAGGTTTTTCTGAGAAAGACTCTTGCCATGTTGTTCCAACTAAAATCACCATGGAAACCAGGCTGATCTTGAACTAGTGATCCTCCGGTCTCTGCCTCCCAGAGTGCTGGAATTCCAGCCATGTGCTGTCATGTCTACTTTTGATCTACTTACAGTACTAACCTGGGTGTAGTGGTACATGCCTAGAATCCCAGCACTCTGAGAAGCCGAGGCAGGAGGATTTTTGAATTTGATCCCAGCCTGGGCAGTTAAACAAGAACCTGTCTCACAATAAAAAAATAGATCTGGAGATACTCAATCCCCGGTACTAAAATAAACAAAATTAAATAATAAAAGTCAGTTGTTTTAAGGAATTAAAATAGTATAAACCAAAGTCCAGTGTATTTTTCCCTGTCCTTCCTTCTCCTCTCCCCAATATAGGTGGTAAGCATTAGTAATGGTGTGATGTGCCTCTTTCTATGTATTGCCTGTGCATATGCAAAGAATTACACATATATACATGTATGATTCATATATATAAAGAAAAGAGTAACTACACAAATGCACATGTTCATACCTTATAAAATGCACATAATGGGGCTAGGGAGATAGCTCAGTGGTCTAAGACCTCACCTGGCAAGCGCCAGGACCTGGGTTTTATCCCCAGTACCACATCCTGTGCAGGCCCATGCTGAACGGGCTACTGAAATCAGGCGTGGTGGTGCAGACCTGTAATCCCAGTGCTGGGGAGGCTGAAAACAAGGATCATTACAGTGTGGGGACTGCATAACAAGACCCTGTACCAAACAAATAAAGGATTTTTTTTTTTTTTTTTTTT